TGAGAGAGATCTCCATTTTGAGTTACTCTCATCTGTTATACTAAACTTTCAAATTAGGAAGGGAATAGTTTCTGGGCCTGAGGTATTCTTGCTGTAATATAGCAATAAATTAATTATTACTTTCTGATCAAATTTTGTTTTATTAGAAAACATATGAACATCTGCACTGCTGAACTTTAGACAGATTCAAAGGAAGAAGATGCTTATAGTATCAGCACCACATGTAGGAAGCTGCCAGTCTGTCCAGGGGAAGAATCAGGGCTTTTCAGGGATTTTGGAACCACAGGAAAAGGACAAGCAGCATCCATAAGACAGCACAATTTCACATTTATAATATGTACATGTCTTGATCATACAAATAAAATTAATTATATTATTTTATGGTTACTTAACTGAAAAATTATTTAGAAAGCCATTTTTAGGATGCATTTTATTGAGAAAATATACTGGCTGGGGGAAGTAAAATTTAGGAACTATGAGCCACAAAACTAGAACCATGACCTAAAAACCACAGTGAACTTATTAACATAAAAGAAATGGAGAAGTCAAGCCTGGCTTCATGGGAAAAGAAGGAGGAGAAGAACACAATGAAACATGTCAGACGCACAGTCTAGGGTAGCCTGGTGGAGTGATCTGAACGAAGGGGAGAAAAAATTGATCTTGATACAAAGGGCAGAGAGGAAGCAGAGGAGTTAAGGGAAAAAAAGAACAATAAAAGGCATCACGGTACTTTCCTTTATTCTGTTGAACCATGCTTTATAGATTTTCCTAAAAGTTAATATTGGTTTCTTTTCCATTATACACATTTTGACACATCAGCTACTAAACATTTCTTAATACATCCACCTTGAACTCTTCTGTTCTGATATCATACATTAAAAAGGATATGCGATACCCAGTCCCATTTCTGATATGCCAGACTGAAACTTTTGCCTTTCCAAATGCAATCTTGCACCTTTAATTTCCTTAACGTCTCCCTTGTTGTCCATTCATCATAGTCTTGACAGAAAACTGTGGGTGAAAGTAGTTTGATAATAGACTGACACAATAATTCTACTTAAATACTACCTTTTTTCTTTCATATAAGATGTGGCCTATGTTTCACAATACATGGTTAAAATTCAGAAATGTTATTCCAGAGAGATTTCTTAGAGCAAACTCAGAAGATTTTTTTGTTGCAGGTCTCTGATACACCATGGTGCTCTTAAATAGCACAGGAATGAAATGCATACCCAAAGAAATCAGTAATCTAGTCTTGTTGTTCAGCTATCTGATCTGAACACATGTTTCTAGCAGGAAATATTTTTTCCCTGGTCTAAAATATTCTATTAACTTGTGAGCACTTGCTTCAAAATCCCTATAATTCCCTGCTTTTTTCTGAGGCAGCAAAAAACCATCTATGAAGTTAGACCACCCAGAGAGCAACAACAAGGCACCTGAGAGGCATCCATAAATTCTATGCCAGTTGTAAACAATTTAAAGTGTCAGAATTGCAGCTCAAATCAGACCAACAGATACCAGATGTCCAGAAAAGTCGAACATGCACAAGATACACTTTCTAAAATTATTTCTGTGTCATACAAAGCTGTCAATCTGTTTGCATAAGCAGAAATAAGATTTCAGCATTGCCCTGTGAAGCTTTACAATTTGAAATATAGTCTAGATTGTTAGTTTTATCCCCATGCCTACTGTACGTTGATCAAGAATAAAAATAATAGGAGTTCCTGAATTTTGATTTTAGATTTGCTCCTTACTTACTATTTTGATCTTGGACAAGCCATCAGTCTTTGGGTTGAAGGTACACTAAAAATGAATAGAGCCCTTTCACTTGCAGTTTGTGTAGACTTTACTTCTGTGGTGACCATGAGGACACAGGCAATCTGTCATCACCGTATTTGCTGTATAGCTGTGTTTAATCAGTACTTCAATTTGTTTTTGATAAATGTGATTAGCTACCAAATACAGTTTAAAGTAATCCAGATAAAAAACAAAACCAAACCAAAACAACAAAACAAAAAACAAATCAAACCAAAGCAACAACAAAAAACTTCTGAGCAAGAACATATGGCATTTATCCTCAAGAATTCTGTCTGCATTCAAGGAGTAACCTTCTCTTGTGTTTGGTTCTTCCCATTGCTCCTGTTTTGGGAAGAAATGAGTAAAAGTAGGCAGGTCTTTGATGCTTACTATATTTACAAAAAATATCAACAAAATCCTGTTTCTTTCTACATGAGAAGAATCAAACAGCTGGAGAACATTTCTTTGCTCAGATTCCAAGACATGTTCTAGCCAGCACTTATCCCAAAGGTCTTTTCTCAGGAGATTGTTCAAATCTGCATGAGTTCGTATCCAGCATGTCTGTCCATGTCTGTCCTTTGTGCTTGTGTCATTATTTTTACAAACAGGGACAGTTTCAGCAGATAGCATTCGGCTAACCACCATTTCCATAAGCTTTCCTCTTGCTTTTAGCCTCAGTGACAGACAGTCAGTACTCTCACCAACTTCAATATGTATAAAACCCAGTTTCAAGCATCAAAGAAAAAAAAGATATGTATATATGCAGGTTACTTTCTTCAAGGAAAATATTAACAGGAATTTGTGATAAATAGTCATATATTTAACAGAGCAAGAGGAATAATGTCAAAATAAATAACTGCACTCAAAAGGGATCTACTGAAATGCAAAGTAACTATTCTGCAGCCAGCTGAAAGACAAATTGCAAACATTTCCTGAAAATAGGAATTTCCTCACAAAGATAAGAAACTATAGGAAGAGTTCTCTTCCTGGAAACAGCCATCAGGAACAGCTGTAATATAAACTCCTAAACAATTATACTTAGAAACAAACTATTAAGGAGGAGCATGACTAGAAGCAGATATAAAGAACAGAGATGTTTTATGAAGATAGATTGGTAAACAGCTGTTAATCAGCTGCTCCTGTGGGTACAAGCTAAGCCTATTTCTCAATTCACTTTATCTTCCAATGAGATATTTTTCTGAAGGGTATGGAACAACCTTTCCTAAACCAGGTTCCACATTGTTTTGGCAACACATAAAGTATCAAGAAGTGACAGGAATGATCCTCTCAGTAGCATACAAATTCAGAAATGTCTGCTCCTTCAGTCTGGTGTTTTAGATGATGCAACTTTCAAGTGGAATGTTTAATTGTAGTGCCTAGATCTTAAATGAATATTATATAAATTCTGAACCTAGTATAACCACCAGTATCTATCAGATGTGGCTTTTCTTTCTTCAGGCTTCTTACTTACTGAGATACTTAAAATCACAATATGAAAGATAATAAATTTTAAAAAGTATGATAATAATAATAATAACAACAACCACAACCACCCCTCCTACAACAGCAGCAACAATAATAAACACAAACTAATCCTCCTACCACCAAAAATTATTGACAGTTTAGGTCTCTGTCTGATATCTTATTCTATTTTATTTTGTTTGACAAACAGTAACACAATATGGAAGACCCTGATAGTCGTGATGTAGTCAGGAAAACCATTATAATCCTAAAATGATCTGTATAACTTGAACTTGATCCAATGCTGCACTCTGAGGGATTGCTGTTCCTCTGGCCCCAACACTGTCTAGTGAAGCCTACCAATCAAGGAGCAAGGAACAGTCAGAGGCAAGCTCTCAGGTGAGATCCAGAACACTGAAGAACAGAAGTAACCAGAATTTCAATTTCACCCAATTCTAATCAGGAAAGAAAAAATGCTATTTTCTTGGTAAATTTCAATCCAATTTACTGCTCTTGATATGATGTCACAAGGTCCCTGAACCTTCTTTCTGTACAGGTATAAATATGTAGGATGAAAAACACAACACATGAGAACTTTTTATTAATTGTTGCTTACAATCAAAGGAGAAGTTGGAGAAAGCACTGCCTTTGAGGGACAGATAAACATAACTAATCCATTTTCCTACCTGATCTTCTTTTGGGACTCTCCAGTATTACAGAGACATCTCTGTAAGACTCAGAAGATTTCTTCATCTTGCTGTTTACTTCTTTTCAGAGGAGTGTCTGAAAGCAGCTTCAGTCCTTTTACTTGCAACAGCTGCGTTGTTTTTGGCAGTGATGGAACTCACCTAAAAATAACATTGTTATACAGTAAAATTGGACTGTAAAAGTCCTTCTAGGGTAAAACAGTTTATGCTTTTGATTAGGAGGGACAAAAAAGAAGGATTAAAATGGTCCTAGAGGCAAACTCCAATTCAGAAGTCAAAGATAAGGCTGTAACTGGAAATGGGTACATTTTGGAAGGTACCTGTATGTCATGTGTGAGAGGTCACAGGTATTTAAACATACTCATTTCCTTTGTGTGTTCAACAGTAATGAATGACCCTGTGTCACTGAAAGAGAATTTAATATTTTCCAGCCTCAGTGACCTATTCTCTGCCCTGCACATATACCACATATACAATTCTATTGTTTCATAGTATTCAGTGCTAGAGGGAAATGCATTAGTTATTATTTATGCTCACTCTTTATTGTTCATATCACAGATATTATACGCAGTATTAATTTCATCATTGCAGGTTTTACTGTATTTTGGACCTCACTCTTAAACTGATGGTGACAGCTGTTTTTACAATTAAAATGTGGATAGAATGAGATACATAACATCAGAAGAGATGCAGGCAGAGGAAAAATAATAGAGCAAAAATAAGAAACCATGGCAAGATTCTTCAAATTGTAATACACTATGTTAAGAAATGCCTTGAGACATTCTCAACAAACAGCAACTATATTTCATTTTATTTCACATCAGTGAGGGAGACCAAGCCTGAAAGTGGAACATACACATTTTGTCAGACAAGCATCTGATATCTTGGCGAAGAACATAAACAAATTTTTCACTGTTTACCAGTTGCTTCTAGACACATAATAGACGCAGTCTCTGTGGTTTACAGATTTATTTATTTTCTTATGAGTTGTCTTTGCAGTCAAATGCTCTTCCCCTGAGCTATACCCCCAAAAAAGAAAATATGGAACGCTTCACAAATTTGTGTGTCATCCTTGTGCAGGGGCCATGCTAATCTTCTCTGTATCATTCCAATTTTAGTATATGTGCTGCCGAAGCAAGCATCAACGCTGTCTCCGTACAATCCTAAACATCCACTGGTCAGATTATGTGACCAATACATCTGTTCTAGAACAAGCAGCTGTCACAAGCATTGAGGCCATGTTACTGAGAACACAGCTGCGTTGGGCAGGGCACATCTCCAGGATGAAGGACCTCCGCCTCCCTAAGATCTTGCTCTATGGTGAACTTGCCACCGGCTGCTGCAAGAGAGGAGCCCCGAAGAGAAGATACAAGGACTCCCTGAAACAACATCTCAGCCTTGGCCATATTGACCAACATAACTGGTCTACTCTGGCCTCCAGTCGGGAGGCCTGGAGACACACCATCTATAACGTTGCTGCTTCCTTTGAGAACGCACGCAGGATCACTCTCGACGAGAAAAGACAACACAGAAAGAATCGTGTCTTGCAGAATATACCACCTAAGGAGTCTTTCTGCTGTGCCTTTTGCAACCGGACATGTCTATCTCGTATTGGCCTTTTTAGCCACCAGCGTGCTTGTAGCAAACGTGGGTAGAGCCCTTCCCAAATCTTTGTTCGCGAAGCCTGGCCATGATCAGTTGTCTTTAAACACAATTTTTGACTCCTCTCAACTTCTTTCCATTAACAACAATTCTATCCAGATTTCTAAGAACCTAGAAGATACTATTGCGTATTTTTGCAATAGGTGTTAAAGACTTTGCAAGAATCAATTTTGTTATTATTGCATTCCATAAAGTTCTGCAAAAAAATAAATAGAATCTGACTGTTAATTCTGTAGACCCAATGGCAAACTAAACATCTAGGAAAATATCGCTTTAATTGAAAGAAAATCAGTATGTGACCTGTGATGGGCCTTGATCAAGAAGGATTAAGGCAGCCTGTAACTGACCACCACTACAGAAAAAGTTAAAATATAAGGTCTTCCTTATGATTAATATGATAATACAAAAAATGTGCTCTATTTTACACATGTATTTTCTCTTTTAAGACAGACATAATAAAAAAACCCACAAAAATTCCCCAAACCCAAGAAAATAAAATGAAATGCCAAGAGCTGTAACAGGACTTTTGCAGATGGAACAAAATTATGCTAAAAGTGATGTTTAGAAATCCAGACTTTTATTTAACATTTCCCATCCAAACACAGCGTTTGGACAAATATGTTGAGGCATCATTAAATTTGATGTCTGAAGAAGATAAGTATCTTGTTTATAGTAGTAAGAAAGTAGTCGTTACCAAGATAAGAAAATTCTGTTACTCTGGAAGAAATGAGATGTCCTAAAATGGTCCTTATAACAACTAGATTATTATTTACCAGGTGAACCTGTGCAGTCATAAGTGATCGTATTTCTTTATTATGGTCATTTTCTATAAAGCAAAAAGTGAAAACTAAGACCAAAACATAAACCCTGATTTTTTATGTGTCAGATAACTCTTTATGTGAGAAAAAGGGTAAGGATAAATACATGGAGAGGTTGAATAGATTGTTATCAGCAGTTCATCATGGATAAAACCTGTGTAGTATGAAATGTTTATCTTAAGCCAAAGGAAGATATGAATATAATATAAAAATATAGACTTTTTTTTTTTTTAATAATCTGTTTAGAAATTTGTGGAAAGTCTACAAGAGTGTGTGTTTTAAGATATCTTGCAGTCAATATGCCTAAAGCTTAATAAATAAAGCTGTTCAGACATTTTTCTACTTAAATCTTATTTTACTTTAAGATGCAGGTTCTCCTTATTTTTGAGGCAAATAATAAAAGCTGGAAGAGTGATATAAAATATGAGAGCTTTGGGTAGTGTTCACAAACAAGAACTGAACATCTCTCCCCTAATTCTATTAAATTCTTTCCCTCAGCTATTTGATTTTCAGATTTTTTTTTTCTTTTAGCATTCAAAAAATGACAAGGTTTTGTGGAATTTTTTTAGAGTTGATTTCTTTAGTCTTCTCTTTGAGTGGAACTTTCTGAACATAATTTAGTAGATTATGATTTTAAGTCTCAAAGACAAGCTTAGAGAACTTCTGCATAAATAAATTTGAACTATGAATTTTCTAGTTTTCATATAAAGATGTTTAAAAGTCTCTGAAGCCTTTACAAGAGCTCTATTTAATTCAGGCACTGAGTGCTTATTTGAATGTTTAAAAAAGAGGTTATAAATAAGTTTAAGTAGTTTAGTGGTGTACATTTTTCTTAGAAAATATCATTTAGACAGTGTTTTATTGACTTCAGTAAGTATTAAATGATTGAAACTATAATGAACAGTTTATGCTTGAGTGTACAAAGACCCTAGGTATTTATAAATGACGGGTCTACAGAATACCTATGAATGAAAATGACCCCAGGTAACTGAACACTGCTTGTGCAGCAGGTATATACACAGCCAAATAATGAAATGAAACCCATAGAGGACTCTCAAGACACTTGACATGAAGTAATTTATGATTACTGCTGGAGTAAAGAAAGTGACATTCAGATTTCCTATAGATCTGTTACAGGCTACAGCAGAACTAAAGCAAGGCAACAGAATGTTGTTTTTAATGCATAACATATCATATGTACATGGTGTGTTAAATTAGGTCTCTTCAGCAATGGCAGCATTAGACTGTCTACTAGATTCATAAGTTTATTTGACACAGAGCACGGTACCATATAAAACAAACATTGTTTTTCTACTATAAATATTCAGACACACTGATAAATACTCATGACTCATTCATGTGACCTGGTATCAGATGGATTGGTTTTCAGAGACTCCATATGTGTACTCAACCTGTCAGCCTGCTAGGCAGAATCACTACCATAAGAATGATTACCTTTTCTTTGTAACATTGTCCAAAGGCAGAAAAAAAAAATCTCTCACAAGCAATAACCCTGAATGAAATATAGAAAGTAAAAAGCCTTCCTTTTAGGCTTCACCTGCCTGGATTTCTCTACTCTTTTCCCACTATTATAATTCTTTCGTATTTTCTCTTTTTGAGTCTGAACATAGTGCTGATTGTCACTCTCACTGAACTCGTTGCTGTGGCTGTGCAGCAGCAGAGATCACAGCCAGTGCTCTCAGCTAAATGAAGACTAATGCCCAGATTCAGGTAAGACAACTCAGGTCAGTATGCTGGCAGAAGACCTACGAGTTGAAAGCCTTTGAGCCTGCAGAGAACTGCAGGGAATTCCCTGAGAATCAAATAGTTTTATATAGCTGGATCAAGGGCACAACTATAATGAGACAATTCAACCACTGAGTGCTCTACATTTACACATTTTTTTTTTCATCCAAAAAAAAAAGATTTTTCTTTTTCTGTTTTCATTTAAATTTTCTATTCATAAACTCTTCAATACTGCAAATGTTGGGGCTGCCACAATCTCAGATTTTTTTTCTAAATGTGATATAAGTTCATGATGCAGAATGTGCCATGCAAAGAAACATATGGCCTTTCTAATATGAAAGCTGTTGCTGCTCCTTTCAGCATCTTGCAGGGACCTCTGTTTGCTGACTACTCCAGAGCACAGCTGTTCACAAACCAGGCAATGGCAATTGCTCTGGGGTCCTCCTATCTCTTTCAGGAACCCCAAAGTATCTAGTCATCAGATCACTTTCCATGCTGGCCTCATCACTTAGGTTCCTTTATTTAGGCAGTGTGACAAGTCAAAAATGAAGCAAAATCAGGCGAAACCAATTCAACCCCTTTCCTACTGACCAGGCAGCCACCCATTACAGAGTAGGCACAGAGGAGTTCATGTCATGTGGTGCTCTCCTTATATTAGACAGGGTTATTTTTATTGTGCTTATTTATTATTAATTTTCCACCTGGCATTTATAGGACATTTATGCTCTGCAAGTGGCTGCACTTGCTAATCAGCTCTTGCAGCTGCCAGGGAGCAGCAAGAGCAGGCAGCTTCTGTAAGGGCAGGTGACAGGGATGCAGGCGGTGGCAGTAGTGCAGGGGCCACATGGGATGGACACAGGCAAGCAGCTCTGGCAGTGGTCACTTTGTTCAGCTAAGAGTTCAAAACATCAGGTAGGTCCATAGTAATGAGGGAGGTCCAACGCCAAGCTAAAAAGTCACAGTCACACCTGCAAGTTAGGCTCTGGGTCAGAGTCAGGGAGGCACAGGACTGGAATACCTGCAAAATTGTTCAAATAGAGATCAAGGGAGAGAACCTGAGCTTAAAAGAATCTCCCAGGTTCATGGGAACAAGTCACTGCTGGGGCTTCTCATAGTCAGAGAGGAGCATCTTCAAAATTATCCCTGACCCCAAGCAGCTGAACCCTGGAGGCAGCAGGGAAGGCACTCAGGGCCCTGAAAACATCTAACGTTTTCAAGAACTACATATATGAGAGTATTAAAGCAGATCAGATATAAGTAGGTCAACCACGCTTGGCTGTCTTTTCCTAGCTGTACATGTGCCTTGTATTTGGCAGTCCGCTGAGCCACAGCTTCTCTGTTTCCTTTTTACTCAGCCAACAGTTAAACCCACACTTGTCTTGTTCTCAGGCTAACATTAGAGTCTCCTTTATACAAACTGCTCTCACTGTTGATAAGCCACTTAAGACTCACGTCTGCCTCTAAAAGTGTTGTTTTCTTCTTTCCATGAAAAAATGTAAGTCAGTGTTTCTTCAGAAAACAGGAATAGACAGGTAAGTGAAAGGAATGGGTATATGCATGCGTGTGCTGGTTTGTGACTGTGGGAATGCGCATATGCGATTTCAATTACTTTAAACTCTGCAGTAAACTCTTCCATCTGAGGAACTGAACTTTGACAACTGTGTAAGCTATGTTAGCATCACTAGGTTATTGTGCTGACATCACAATCTTTATCACATACACTACTTCTACAAGTCGCAATTAATGATAGTGCTTATTCTTGGTTTTGAAATAATTTGGTATATGTGCTTACGTCTTTCTGAAGAACTGTCTCTTTTTTTGTCTTGTATTTTGAAGAGGAAACCAAAGCACTATCTTATAACTGGATTTCTGTAAAGAATTTCCCATAGTCAGGGGGATCTTCACCTTCACCATAG